CTATCTATCTATCTATCTATCTATCTATCTATCTATCTATCTATCTACACATACACACACACACACACACACATATACATACATACAAACATACATACATAGTCCTTTCACAAATTTATCTTCACTAACAGAAAGATGGAATATTTCTAGCTGTGTTTTTTCTCCCCATAGTTGAATTAGTGAAAAGGACAGAAGAAGCAAATTAGAAGCATACAATTCGTGATCTAAAAGTCCCTAAAGACTTTGAAGTGGTACTTAAAGATTCTTCAAAACCTATTACCAATTGACAACATTTGTATGATGGAAGAGAAAAACATGAAGAGAACATGCACAAAGCATAAGTGCATTGCCTGTATTTACTTTTAATTAACTTTAAATAAGTTAAATTTCAGTTTTGTCTTCAATCTGCTTTTTGTTTGTCTTAACCCGTAAGACATACTATTCAAAGTTTAAATGTGACCCTCAGCTTCAGAAAAGTAACAGCATAACCGAAGTCTACAGTTCTCACTTGGTCCTTATAATTACATAACCCACAAAAACAGAGGCTGGGAAATTATCTTATCTGCATGTCTAGCTTGGCTTTAGGATTAGATTACATCAAATTACATGAGATCTTGCAACCATTCACCTTCTAGTTCCCAGGGTCATTTTTAACCCAAGCTAAATTTAGAGGTCAGGATTTGTTCTTTAACTATACAAAGACAAGCAACACTCCCAAAATTCAACATCAACATAGCTTCTGTGTTGCCTGATGTTATGCCAAGAAAATAGATTGAATGAGGTAAAGTAATTTAGGCATGGTGTTTTCAAAGAACCAAGTAGCCTATGACATGTTGTTGTAAATTGTGACTAAGCAGCTGTCTGAAGAATTTTTGAAAGGAATTTCCATAGAAGGCTTGATCTAAATATATTTAAGTCTGTAAGTCTTGTAGCTTTACACAACTTAATTGCTTAGATGATGCTATGCATATAGAATAACTTGGCAAATCTCCATACTCTGAAGTTTATGTAGTTATAATTAAAGGTAAATTGCTTTAATAAATAATACCTTCATAGAGTCTGTTAATCTAGAAGGCTCCTGCCTTAACAATCTAGCATGTGGCTTCTATTTACTTGGCAAGAAAATATTTCACAGCCCTAATTCTCAAAAGAAGCCTGGATATCTATGAGAATTTTTCATCATTATCATTCCAATCTTTCCAATTCTTACATTAATAAATATGCTGCAGTTAATTGTTGGATTAGTAGTGGACTTCTTTAAACAATATGTTTTATTTAGAACCAGAGATCATCATAATGTGGAATGCGCAAAATAATTTTCTAGGGTGTCTCTGAGCAAATTCGGAACTGAACCGCATCAGTTTAGTAGCAGAAATCTATTCATTTTCTTCCTTACAAAAAAATATTAAATATCCTGGTTTCCATAAATTCTCTTAATTTCAGCTTCCTAATTTGGGGATTGAGAGAGAAATTTGCTGTTATTATTATGAAATCAGTGCCAGATGAGAAACGCATACCCAACCTCAGAAATCTATCTCCTGCTTACAGGGAAACTAACAGGCTGACTCCGACAAAGGCTAATTGTTTTTTCACATTTTCTTCAAAAAAACATCTCTCCTGCAAGCTGACTATGGTGAGCAACAGATATTCTCTTTTACAGATCGCCACTGACTTTATCCTGTACCCACAACTTGTAATATTTCTAGTGAGATAAACTTCTCCAACAATTTTTTAAAGCAAAACACCTTCACGTTTAAATATTTTAAAATGCAACTTTGTACAGTGTAATTTGCTATACTTAGGTATCTGTTTAAAAAAGTCTCTAATCCTAACCCTTAAAAGAACATATCAGTGCTAAAAGACCCCAAAGGAATTTTTTTCTTAAGCTTCTTAACTGTTATTTGTACCCAACTATTGTTTTGTGTTATCTATCAACCACAGTAGAAGGAACAGCATATTTATGTCATTTTCTGCTGGAAGAAATGAATGTACTTATGCTGGTATTAAAAGCAGAAAATTCCAGTGATAGACATGAAAATGAATACAGGTAAGAAACCTGTTGCCTAAGCATTTCAATTAGAAATTAACAATTTATTTATTGCTATCTGTTCTCCTGGCAATAACTATTTATAAATCCATATTCAAAAGACATAGTATTCAGAAAAAAGTAGCTTTGTGGCAAAACTTTACATGGTGAATATTAACTGAATGTAACATGCAGAGTTCATGAAAAAGCGGGTTTCACTAAGTAAACAGCCCAATAATTAGATCTGATTGACACCCGATACACGATCAACACAAGAAACATAAATTGGGGAAGCTCAGCAAGAGGAGTACTTGCATTACTTGGGCTGAAGAAAGAGTACAAAAAACCAAACCACTGAGATTTCACCTATAAGCCGTTTTATATTTAATAAACACTGGGATTCTTTCACAATGGCTTATGCACTTTTCTACAACAAAAATATTTATCTGTGCTTTTCTGTCTTTTCTTGCCATTTCATTCTTAGCCAATGAAAAAAGTGTGATAGTTTGCTTTCTGTAGAACTACCAGTACCAAACTTTTAAGGACCAAATGAATTAAGCTTTTTAACAACCTTGTTTTCTATGAGTAAGACAGTATACATCTTTACTGTATATTGGAACATTCAGCTAGACTCTGACCAAAGTAATAAAACATACGCCGAGTGTGACAGCTTTCATGAGAGCAAAAGCGCAGGTCCTACACCTGTTACAGAAGGATCACAAGTACTATATAAGGTGAGAAAGAAATTCACACTCGAATATTAAGTCTCTTGAAATCAAATGTGTCCTGTTGCTGTTAAGCCTTCCAGAAAGTAAGATGCAAAAAGCCTCTTCTTAGAAAACTAACTCTCATCTTTGTTTTAATTGCCCTCAACAAGACAATGGTAAAGAGACAAAAAGAAAATCTCATTTAATTTTTGAGTCTTTTTTGTCTAACTTCAATCACTCTTCTCTCTTCTCCTTACCCCATTATCCATTTATTTTTTTCTATTGCCCTTTTCAGACTATAAGAGTGTCTGTTGGGACCAGTAATGTCTTTTTTGCTTATGCAAAGGGATAAAATTTCAAATGCATTAACAGCAGAGCATGCACCTATTAATTGATCATTATGCTGTAGGAAAAAAAAATGTGAATCCAGCAGATTCATCATATGAAGAAGGGTCTGTGAAACAGCATCTAGTTGATGGTTGAAAACTGTAAAAATATTTCAAACCAAAGAATAAACACTACTGGTATATCGGCCACTTTGGTGGAGTCGTTTATTTCCCCAATTCCAAATTTCATTTACCCCTTTATGCTTCCCCCACCCCTCCAGTACACATCCACACAAGCACACATACTGTGCATGTTTTTCTTCAGCGGCTTGTCTAAATCCACATAAATGCACGAGTCGCTTGTTGCTATGGGTAACTTGTCAGGAACCAATGCTCTAGCTTTTCCAATGTTACAGTGCAGGGGGGGGGGGGATTAGCAAGCTCCATCTTCCTGCTCCTTTCCCAACTTTAAACCCGGCAGCACCTACACTTCCCATTTTACCTCCTCTCTGCCCATTTGCCAGCATGAAGGCTCGCCCCTCCACTCAAAGCCTCATGGCTCCCACCCCACACAACAAGTAGTTTATGATCTGACCCACAGCCCGAATGGGCCCCATTAAACTATTTGGAACTGAGGGACACAAGATGCGGCCTTAGGATGCCGGAGCCACCTTTAAATGGTGCCGCCCGTCCTGCTCGCAGGAAATCTCCTAACTGGACACTCAGAATTGTTCAATATTCCGCATACCAACCCTATGCTCTCTGGCTGGGCTTGCGGGCAAAGGACAATCCGGCTCTGGCCCCAAAAGCAGGTGAAACTTGGCCGGGCTCCGCGCAATCTCTTCTTTGATGCTGGTTGTGTTACTTCTTCCCACACACCCCGATGCCCTCGCCCCCCTTTTCCCGGGGCAGCGCGCCCGCTGACTAAACGCATCTCCCGGCACATGGTGCAGTGCCAGCCCATCCATCAGCTCTGCCCGTCGCATCGCGCCCCTCGCTCTCCAACCCCGTGGAAGGGGAAAGTAAAGCTGGAAGGGGTGGGAAGGAAAGGAGAGAGGGAGGCAGAGAAGGACGGAGAGGGGGAGGGAAAGGGTAGGTGGCAGAGCTCCGCAAACTTACGTCTTCCCACTTGACGAAGGTGGAGCCCTTCTTGAGGCTGGCCGAAACCCGGACCGGCTGGAGCTGGAGAGCGTGGACTCCTGGCTGTGGCCCAGCCATTGGCGGCAGCACATCGAGGCTTTCCCACCCGGAGAAGGGAAGGAAAAAGGGGCAGGCGGGAAAGGCGCGAGTGCCTTGTCGCAGGAGCCGCCCGGATCGCTTAGACCGGAGGGGGAAAGGGATGAGAAGCAGCGGCAGCTGCTACTCGTGCCAAGCGCTTCTTGCAAGGCAAGGGCGAGCCAGACGCGTGCCTACAGCAAAGAGTACATCCTATAGAGAAATACAGAAGGGGGAACACACGCCTGCATGCATGCATGCATGCATTCATGCATGCACCCCCCTACATGCATACACACACACACAGGCGCGCGCGCTGCCGAGGCGCTCCTCGCTGCTCTGGCAAATGCAAACCGCGCTGCCGCCCTCTTCCTCCTTCCCCGGTTTTCTCTCTCTCTCTCTTTCTCTCTCTCTCTCCCCCAACTTTTCTCCGCGCTCAGGGCGCAGGCGAGCGACTCAAGCGGGCAGCACCACCTGCTGGCCGAGGGCGCCGCCTCTGCAGAGCATGCGCCCTCCTTGAAGCCCGCCGCCTTCAATGGACCGGCCTTTTCCCGACAGTGTGCCTAAGCGAGGAGGGACCCGCCCGCGGGCCGCCTCACCGCCTTATGGGAAGCCTGGCTTTTTTTTAAGGGTGGAGAGCCCCGGAATACACAAAAACCAGCGGCTCGTTTTGGAAATGATTTTTCTCTTCGTTCAAGGAGATCGGATCGGTCTCGGTAACCGAGAGGGTGGCCGGTGTCCCGCTTTTCTCCTCAGAGTTCCTGTTTGCCCTACCGATCTCGTTTGCAAGAGCCGCGCGATGCCAAAAATTGTGTGGTTTTTTTTTTTTAATTTAAGCGCATTATGCGATCATTTCAAGTCACGAGTTGCTTTCTTTCTCTCTCCCCCCCCCCCACGAGCAATAGGGAATGCATATATATATATATATATATTAGGGCTTATATTAGGGCTTATCAACTGCCATCGCTACTCCTTTTAGAAAAGGCACCTATCTGTGGGATCCAGTGTGCCACCCATATGGAAGGGGGGGGGGGGAAAACAACTCAGAGGAACTTGCCGATCTTTCCATGCAAAGTTCCTGCTCAACCATTGCACTGAGTCAGGGCTCATGGAATCAACCACAGTCAATTGGGTTGCATCCGCATTTTGATCTGAGGGTCAGCAAACTATTAGCTACGCTCCTTGGTGTGCTCCACTTTGAAAACTCAATTTACATAGATCTTGCAACCTCCCCAAATACACTCTTTCCTCTAACCTGTCAAAGTATCTGTGAGCCTTGTCTGCCATCCCAAGATTCAGTTATAACCCATAGATCTAATTGGGGTGGGGGGGCGGGAGGAGAAGAGATCTTACATAAAGGCACAAAATAAGAGCATTTTTAGAAGGGGAAAATCCCTCTTCGATAAAATAATTATTTATTTCAGCATGCCCTTCAACAACAAATGTAGTTTTCCTTATGTGGCATTCAATTTTGCCCTAGTGTGATACATCCCAAACAACTATTTTATGTTATCTGATGGATGCCTCAAGAATTCTTTTTAAACTCCTCTACAGTATGATTACTACTCTACAATAACATGCTATAGTTAACTGCTACAGCAAAAATGCTATGCAGATTTGTCCTTGTCTATTTTACATATCCGATACCCCCGCCCTCTGCAGTTTTCAGTGGGGAAAGTGAGATATTCTTATTAAAACTAATGGCTCTTTTTCCTTCTGGTTTGCCAATTTCTCAAAGGGACTTGTTTATACAGCCATTGAGTTATCAATGTCAAGGTGTCCAGTCTCTCCCTTTCATTACATCCATAGTTAGTTCTACCTAGTATTTTAATACTTCATACTCTTTATCCGGGCAATTAATTTGGACCATTTTTATTTATAACTAAACATAATATTTCAGAAATTGTGTGCTCCTTAATCATAATGGCTATGATCATCGTTCCGAGGTGCTGAAAAAAAACAAGATGTTATTCTAATGATGCTCTTTAATTCGTTCAAGACTGAATTTTCTCAGTGTGTCTATAAGATGAGTTCTGTGTGAATAAACATGTTAAAGAATCCTTCTATAATCCTTCAATTGTTTCTGTGCTATCTTAAACAATAAAAAATGTATATATCAGCATAGTTTAATAAAGATGATACTAAAGTTTCAGCCACTTTTCAAATTGGACAGTTCTTCTACCTGTTTTAATCAAATTTAAAAACTATGTATAGAACTAAAGACACTAAAAGTACAAGGAAGTTATTATAACAAGGTAGAATATGTCAATGATAGAAAAATGTAAGTGTAACTATCACTCAAACTTTGCTGTAAAATGTATATATGTGTATGTAGATAGATAGATAGATAGATCTGTAGGTCTAGGTGAGTTCGGGTCTTTTCCCGTGTAAGATTGGGGTGGGATTCAAATCTTACATGGGAAAAGACCCGAATACACCTAGACCTACATACCTATACCCATGAAAATCTACGAAAACAAATATATATATGTATGTACGTATGTACGTACGTACGTACGTTTGTTTGTTTGTTTTAATTGCATAAATATTTAATTAAAAACCCCATGTTTTATTTTCTAAATTGTTTTATTACAATGTAGTCCTAAATGACCACAATTGAGCCCAACATTTATGTTAAGTGAGACATTTGTTAAAGGAGTGTTGCCCTTTTTTATGACTTTTCTTGCCATATTTGTTAAGTGATTCACTACAGTGATTAGTAACATGGTTATTAAGTGAATCTGGTTTCCCCATTGACTTTACTTGTCAGAAGGTCACAACAGGGGCTCACGTGACTTAAGAACACTGCAACTCAGGGGTGGGATTCAAATTTTTTAACAACTGGTTCTGTGGGTGTGGCTTAGGTGGTGGGCATGGCTTGGTGGTCATGTGACTGGGTGGACATGGCTTGGTGGTCATGTTATTAGCTGGGCATGGCCAATTCAATATCACTCGCATCGAGGCACGCATCTCCTCGCCCGGCCTCTCATGACTGTGGGGATGCTGCAATAGTCACAAGTGTGAAAAATGGTCATAAATCACTTTTTTCAGTGCCATTGTAACTTTGAATGGTCACTCCACACAAGCAAAGTACCAGCAAAGGAGGGGGAAAGTACTCCAGAGAAGTTCCTGAGTCAGGAAGTCTAGTCCTGCCAAGAATGTAATAAGGGTTAACGGAGAGGCAGTTTCTGTAAGCAACACCAGAATGTTTCCTTCCTGCCTTCCTTACAGGATTAGGCCAGCAATTTCTTCTAACAACCGGTTCTCCGAACTGCTTAGAATATGAACAACTGGTTCTAGTGAATAGGTGCGAACTGGTAGAATCCCACGCCTGCTGCAGCTGTCATAAATGTGAGTCAGTTGTCAAACATCTGAATGTGAATGCTGCAATGATCGTAAGTATGAAAAATGGTCATAAGTCACTTTTTCAATGCCATTGTAACTTCAAATGGCCACTATACCTGTAATATATTAATGCTCATAAGAGCCCTGCAAATGGTTTTTTTTTTTTTTTTGGGGGGGGGGGGGAAATACTAATGCAACAAAATGTGTAAACATTTGGTTGAAAGTTATTACTGGAGATTTGGAGTACTTTATCTGTTTTTTAAAAAAATATTGGAAATGCAACACAAAGCAATAGTAATTTTTATGCTTTTTACATTTCAAGTTTATCTCACAAATTGTCCTATGCTCCCCCAAGCTAAAATTATTTCAGTTTGCTATACTGAAGATGCCCTTGGAAAATGATGCACACTTAATTTGCAATCCTCCTTTTATATTGTTTGTGAAATCAGTGATAAAACACAAGAGCAGAGAAAAGAACATGCCAGAGTTTCAGAATTGCCGGGCAGCATGACCACTATAGAATCAAGAAATTATGGTCCAATATGTGGAAGGCAATAATATGGTATCAACAACATTCAGGTAATTGACTGCAAGGTGATTATGATCAATAATGATAAAGACATTATATGTCATGTAATTTTTGTCATCTCAGTAGGCTAATTATTCCATTTCTTGCAAATTAGATACAGATGTGTACTAAATCAGATTTGAGCCACCAGTGCATTTAACACAGAAGAGCTATTACTGGTTTATTACCAGCCATAGGTTTCTTTGCATATTACTTCATGGACTGATGAAATCTACCCAGTTTATTCCATTGCTCCACCATTCACATCTTGATTTATTTGTAACTAGAAAAATCCCTGTGGAATGAGAACAGTAAACAGAGGCAAGAATGATAGGTAATTGTGCATCTTTGTGATTTACAATCAAGGACATTATGCCTTCACTATATTATACAAAATAATTCTAGTGGAAAACATAGGATAGCCTTTTAACTCAACTGCAACAGTTCAGTGTTTTGTTTTGACTAAAAAAGTATAGACTCAAAACAGCAGTTATCACCTTTGGAAATAATGGTGTATCCTTTTTGTGATCACATGTTAAGATAAGAAAACTATTGTCCAGGATCAGTATTGCTAATTACCCCAGAAAACTTTCAGGTTTTTTTTTGTATAAGACTCCATTGTTAGTGCACAATGGCAAAACTCAACAAATGCAATGAAATGATGAAGGAAAAACCATGTCATTGCTTCATGATAATGAATCCATTTGAAACCACAATTTGATGCACATTTACTAAGATATGTTTTGAATGCTCAAAATAGTAATTAATTAAGCAAGGGTACAAATCTTTGGAGTAAAAATATAGATAGGCTATCATATCCTTAAAGCAGTGCTTCTCTACCTTGATCACTTTAAGAGATGTGGACTTCGACTCCCAGAATTCCCCAGCTAGGGAATTCTGGGAGTTGAAGTTCACATCTCTTAAAATGGACAAGGTTGAGAATTACTCCCTTAAAGGATTAAAACAGCATTTACTGCTTTCTGTTTCTGCTAAATAAAGGTCTCCAATGCTGAAGGGGAAAGGAAGCCATACTAAAGTTATATTCCACCCATTGCTCTATATAGGAATCTATGAGGACTGGATATCAAATGGTTCCAGCAGATTAATCTTAAAGGAGTAGTAGGAGTAGCAGGAGCTGTTTGAAAAGAAACAGTTTGAGGATGCCAGGTCTTAGCAAAACTTCCACCCTCTCAGGCCTGCATTCAGATTGTAAAGCAAATGTTCACTAAATCCATAACACCATTTTGTTCCCCAAGTTAGAGAGCAAGGAGATGACAGATTTCTAGGAATAGTTCTTTGGATTGTTGAT